TATAACTGCCTGGTCTCTTCACGCATAGTGTGGAAGGGAATGTTTTCACCAGCCGGGCTGCTGAGTTGGGTGTGTGGAAAGTTCCCTATGTCTTCTACTATAGGATTCCCATGGAAGATCACCTTAGCCAAAGATGGCACGTGGACCATCATAGAGAAGTAGTGAAAGCTAGAGGGATTGGCTTTGAGCTATTTCTTTGTCCCTTAGGTAGACTATTTTATCTACCTACTTGAGCCATACAGCAGGTTTTGGAGACTTTGAGGGAGTAAGTAAACAGCCTCCAGGGATATAGGGATACAGGACAGCTGTTTATAGCTTATGTGCCACCAGGATAGATGGCTTCCCAGTGTATTTAAAGAATTACTTTATTTGCTGCACATATGCATTAAGTGTTTAAAAATATTAACTGCTGTTCAAGAAGGAAATTGTGCCTTGCTATGTGTGTGTGTGTGTGACACACACACACACACACACACACACACACATATTTAGTCCTGATTATACTCAATATATTACCCTAGATTTACAACAGGATGAAAAGAGATAAATATGCTCTTCCCTCATCTTGGTAATATACTTAATAATGAACGTATTGTCCTTGGGAGTTATATTTTCCTGCAGCCTTTACTTTAGCTATAGCCATTTACTTTTATGGAAATACCCAGTCCCTCTGGCTTGAGGGAATCCTGCAGAAGACTGGCAGAGAGATTGTGAGGGCTATTTAGAGGCATTGGTGTGGGTTAATTTGCTAGTTTAGAAAATGCCCCAAAATGTCCACATTGGAGCTAGTTGAGTTCTTTTCACACTTATTTTTTTCTAGTTCCTTGTCTTAGCGAATAGCTCTGGGGCAGAAGGACGCTTGCCCTTCTTATTTCTAGCCATGCTTACAGAACTAGATAAAGGTCAAGCAGATGATGGTTTCTCCTCTAAGCTATGTATTCCATTAGGCTATGCATTCCTTAACCCAACCATGCAATGAGGCTTGTCTGTGTAAGGGTATAAATAGTTGGTTACTTCCACAACATACTGAGTGGAACATTTTCCTGGTCAGTCACAACTACATCTCTGCAGCATTACTTCTTCTTGGTCATTAAGTTTCCCGTTCTTCCAATAAAATCAAACTAATGTTCTGTTTCCAAGTCAGTTTTCCCATCTGTGAACACAACATTGGGGACATTCTTTCAGCGGACCAAATCCCAACAGCCAACTCATTTCTTTTTTACATACTGGCAAACATGTTGACCTACCACATGGACAGAGCAGTGATGAAAGGGAAAAGAGTGCACCCCTGCATGGCGGTGGGCAAACGGAACAGATCTTAAACCACTCTATTCCCATCTACTGCAAACCCCAAACTGACTGGGTTGGGAAATTTTCTTACCAATTAGATGTTTTCATCTACTGTGATGGTGCTGAAGGATCCATCCTCTTGAGTGATCTTGGAGTCCCCTTGATTGATCTCGGGTTTCCTTGAATGATCTGGGTTTCCTTGTGGGAACCAGGGTTCTTGAGTGATTCCAGGTTTCGGTACCAAAATGTTGCTGCGCAGTAAATGTTCTGCTTTGGTCACTTTTTCTCAGCCAAAAAAATTGAACCAGACAGGTGGGAGATAACAGGAAGATTGTCTGAAGACAAATCCGGTCTTGGCCTGGTCCAGCTCTTTTTAGGTTGTTTGTCTTGCTCAAAATAATCCTGGCATGGAGTGAGCTCTTATTAGAGCATGTGGCAGGGAGATAGCAATGAAGGTGAAAGTAAAGACATTTCTATTAGAAAAGATACATCCCAGAGAGAGATGTGTCATTCTCTGGAAGTAAAGAAGTAAAGTAAGACATTGTGGCATGTATTATCAATTAATATATCTGACTCGGTTCTAAATTTCAGTCTGCTTCTGGGTTTGAGCCTGGGTCAAGGGAATGACTTCATGAAGTGTTCAAAATCTGGTGAGTGGATCCTACTCTGGTCCATTGTTCCTGATGTCATTGGTTCCATGATGAGTTTTTCATGCACCTAAACACTAATCAGGTTGCTCTGGGAACAGACTCTGATATGCATGTGAGGACTGGGCGGTACTTTTGTCCAACATTATTGGTTCTCTGCTTTTGATTGAGAAGGGCCTGGTGTTGGTCATTTACATTTGACCTTTGTCATCTACTGGTCTTAACATAAGTTTTACTTAATTTTTCCTCATTTGTCTAATTCTTATTGTAATAGATTTTTTATTTGCTACTACTATTTCTTGCATCTATAAAGTCAGTTCCTTAGTCATGATGACCTTGTGCTCAACACTGATAAGCTATCATTTCAGCCTTTGCCACTTTCATGAGAGTTGACATGTTAAGAGTCCATTGTTTCAGCCATAGGATAGTGCTCGCCAACATAGGGAGCTCATCTTCAGGGGCTAATTAGGACGAGATTCTGTTGTAAACCATAGGGTTTCCAGTAGCTGATTTTTAGAAGTAGCTTGAGAAGCCTTTCTTCCTATTGTCTCAGTCTGACAATTTCATTGAAATCTGTCCACTATCAGTGATCCCAACGACATGTGAAATACAAGTGGCATGGCTTCTAATACTATGTGACTACACACAAGTCATTGCAAACTGACAGACAGGTGGTGGTGACTAACAGTCTCTTCACTTGCATTGTCATTCACCCCAAGCACCTGGAAGACTCAGCTGAAAAGTCCAGGCCATCAGTCAGACATTCCTCTCAAGTCCCACTGTTATTCTTGTTCAAGTAATGTTTCTCGTTAGCTGGGCTTCAAGTCACATTAATGTGATTGGGTCTCTGATACTCCCCTTTCAGATCCTTGACCTGGAGCCTGTTAGGTGGACTCACAGTCCATTTGTGCTCTTTCTATTCCTCTGGAAATATTTAGGATGAGTGTGCCTTTTCACTCCATCTGCTACTGATAACTTCATGGCTTTACTCCGTGACACAAGGGGCATGTGGTCCTAAAAGAAAAGAGGTGAGAGGGTACCATAAGGCAGCAACTCTGCAGAGAGAAGAGGGGTTAAGAGAGGATGAGAGGATTCTCAAAACAAGTAGACCGGGAGATTCTTCTGAGGAAGTCCTCACAGTCCCTGCAGACAGGAGGTGGAATAACCTAGGACTTTATGTGCTCAGTTTATGGGTAGAAGCTATTGTGCCAAGTCACTGATGCTCTTGCAGGGCCAGTCACTGCCAAAAACAGTCACCATTCCTAGGTAAATGGATTTCACAAGTAGAGCTTATGTTCCTTCTTACTTAAAATGAACACCAAGGGAATACTGCTTTCTCTCTCTTCGCCTCTCACCTTGTGCAAACATCAATCATTCATTCTCCAATCACTCTTATCCAATCTAAATCAAGGGGGACAGTCCTCAGTCCTGGAGAGAGAATTCCCAAAAGGACAATCCTCTGCACACAGCCTTACGATAAACCACTGGGACCCAAACATGGGCTGGACCCATGAGCTCCAGAGCTGTCAGGCTCACTTTTTTCCCAGAAGAAAAAAGACCCAGCACAAGTCCGTGGAGCTCATTCTCAGGAGCTGGGCTGTTCCCTACTCACCTGAGGATGGTTTCAGGATCTGCAGGTAGCAAAGCTCACCCACTGCCCTCTGCCTTTCTGGCTCTTAATCAGGCCTTCTGGTCCACATCTGGACCAAGATCTACCCTAATAAGGCATCCCATGGGCTCTGCCCAGCTGTACCTGCTACCTTTCGTTATTTTGTTCTGAGTTCACTTGAAAGTCAATTGTCACGTTCTATGATGGAAAGACAACTGCATACCTAGGTGAGATAAACGGATCATTGAGCTTCGTATGGGTTATAAGAGTGCCCATGGGATCCCAGGTGTCTCCCTGGTTTATGGTGTAGTCTTAATAAGTCTGGTTTTGTGGTGATCCTGGAGTTGGGATCCGAGGGAAGCTCCACCCTGGATCGTGACTCCTGCTTGCTGCTGGGCTTCACTGACTCCACAGACAGGCAGAGCTGAGGAGGCCTTTAGTTCCCATTTTACAAGCCTGTGCTTGAGGGAGGAGAAGTGTTAGATCCCCGGTGACACACATGGCTGTGGCCGAGCAAAACCAGAAACCCAGGAAGCAGGATTTGCTGACAGTGGTAAGGCTGGTGCCTGATGCAGTCCTCGAGTGTGGACCCTCCAGACAATTCTTCTGTTCCAGAGGTTGGGAGCAGACAGCTGAAGCCTAATGGCCATTCCTGCCCCACAACATCCACTAACGGCTGCTCCCGCCCCACAACGACTGCCCAGCCCCCTAATGCCATTTGGCTCGACCATTGGCTCCCTGGGCTGGGGGCGGGGCCAGAGCGCTGAGCCAATGTGATGGCTGCAGTGGCTACAGCAGCTTCTCAAAAGGACTGAGGGTTGCAACCTTCATTCTGGACTCTTGTCATAACCATAATACCCAATCATACATCCCTGTTAAACAGTTTTCTCCTTCATCTGTTTCAATGCAGTATACATAATTTATCCCATTTTTCTCAGTCTTACCTCAACTCTGATGTCAGTCCTGTTGTACAACACTGGAAATGGAAATCCAAAATCTCTGTATATGTTCATTCAAATTAATAAAATTAAAAAGTAAAATAATAATAATTTTTTTTTTAAAAAAAGGCTGCAATGGTAACGTGAGATCCTGATCCTTCTTCACCCTTCCTTTTGTTAAGTCAGGGTTTGAGGGCCAGGAGAACCCTCTCCAGTCCAGCATGGAGCTGCAGTGCAAACTCAAAAGTCTTTTGAGGGAGCTGAACACACTCCATTCCAGCAAGAATGTGTAACATCTGCTTCGGAGCGCCCTGGGGGAGACTGAACGTCCTTCAGTCCAGGAAGAGGCCCAGGTTTACCCCCTGAGAGCTCTCTAAGGGGACAGAATCGCCAATCTAACCAGAAACACAGCATTGCCTCTGAAGCCTCCCCAAGAGGTTATGCCTTCTCCAAGGCAGTAATCACGCCCCCCACCTCTGGCTACAAAGCCCACTGAAGAAGCTGGACCTTCCCCAGTACATCTGGGAGGTATAAATCGGCCTGAAAAACTCCCTGAGGAGATGGAGCCTTCTCTAGACCAGCAGGAGGCTCCTCTTCAACCTCTAGTGCCTCCTACAGTGGTTACAACTCAAAACACCACAAATCATGAGGTGCCACCTCCTGGGCAGAATCAACTGCATCCTTCAAATTTGCCCACTGTCACAGTTAAACCTGCTGATATGCAGCTTATCCTAACTCCAGAACCCACTACAGAGGTTCAGAGTTTGCCGATTCAACATAAGGCCCCAACTCACCCTCCACAGACTTCTGAGGAGGTGAAGCCTCCAACCCAGCAGGATGACCTGAGTAAACTGTCAGAGCTCCTTGAGGACAATGAACCATCTCCATTCCAAGTAGAGGTTCCTGTACATCACCCAGAGTAACCAAATGCAGTTTTAACTCTACCTTCATTGCATGATGGAGTGAAAATCCAACCTGGAGGCCATCCTCAAGTTCATTTCATCTTGCCAAAAATACCTGTTAAACCTGTGACTTGGCATACTTCAACACAGCTCGATGCCATCAGTGCAGCCTCCAGAATCTTCTAAAGTGATTAAATCTATTCCAGCTGACAAGTAAAGCCTGACTGAAACTCCAGATCCACTTAAGATGGTCATATCTCATTCGTTCCTGCAGGACGACCCACTTCAACCTCTAGACCCAGATTCTGCTGAGGATTCTCAATCTTCTCTTATTGCACGGACCGACCCACCACAACTGACAGAGTATTATAAGGACGGTGGAGCTTCTGCTCCCTGGCAAGACTCAGCTTGGCTTCCAAGTGTCAATGAAGATGTTGAACACTCAGTGCAAATGGATGCCAACACAGCTATCAGACCCCATTAAGGAGTGTGGACAGCCTCCAACACAGCTGGAGGAACAAGTTCATCCTTCAAAACTCCATGAGCACGTCTGTGCCGTCCTGCAAGAGAATCTGGTTCAACCTCCAAGTCTCCCTAAAGAGGCAGTAACTTCACAAGCAACTGGCTGTCATGACATTATTGAGCCTTTGATCTCTGTGCCCAGGTAGAACCTTCCCCCATTTAGGAAGAGATCCCACTTCAAATGGCACAACCTGCCCCAGATGTTGAATCTTCTCCAGCTTAGCTGTAGTCCCCAGTTCAGTCACCTAAATCCCCTGGACAGACAGACCCTCTAAATCAGCAGGAGGTCCAATTTCAGAATCCACAGCCCCTCTCCTCCCAAGAGACTGAACCTTCTCTACTCCAGCAGGGAGGCCCAATTTTGTCTCTGAGTCCTCGGGGCATGTATAACCTCTTCCACATCAGGAAGAGGCCCCAGCTCAGCCTCCAGATTCCCCTCAGGAGATTGAACCTTCTCCAGCTCAGCAGCGTGTCCCAATTAGCTTACTGAACCTCCTGTACAGGCAGAACCTTCTCCAACAGAGCAAGAGGTCCCAGCTCAGAATCCACAGGCACCCCAGGATATGGAACCTTCTCTACCTCAGCAGGGGAGCCCAATTCAGGCTCCTGAGCCCCCTCTGCAAGTCTTCATCTTCATAGCAGCTGGAGGTCCCATCTGTACCTTCAGTAGCTCCAAAGGAGCTACAGCCTGTCCCAGTTCAAGAGATGGCCACACCTCGACCTCCAGAGCCCTTTGAGAATGTGTAACCATCTGCAGTCCAGCACAACAGGGGGCTGCCCATCTTTCTTCTGCAGAGCAGCAGGTGGACTCGAACCACATGCCTTTGTGATTACAGCAGTTTTTTCCACTAGGCTACCAGAGCTCCCTCATTTAAAGGATAGTACCACTATTCCAGAACACTTGATTGTGCTTATGCAAAACCTATACTTGCACCAGGAGGCAGTCATCAGAACAGAACAAGGAGACACTGCATGGTTCAGAATTGGGAGGAGGGTCCACCAGGAATGTATTCTGTATCCATAACTTTTCAATCTGTATGCAGAACAGATCATCTAGGATGCTGGGCTGTATGAAGAGGAATGTGGCATCAGGATTGGAAGAAGATTCATCAATAATCAATGTTATGCAGACGACACAACCCTGCTTGCTGAAACCAAGAAGGACCTGAGGTGTTTGCTGCAGAAGGTCAAGTACTGCAGCCTTCAATATGAATTGAAGCTCAACATCAAGAAAACAAAGATTTTCACTACTGGGCCAATTGGCAGCATCATGATAGCTTGACTCCACAATTAATATTTTTGGTACCAGTAGTCAGAAAATCAAGAGACGAATTGCACTGGGAAAGTCTGCTGTCAGGGCCCTCTCCAGATTAGTGAAAAAGCAATGATGTCAGTCTGAATACTAAGGTGCACCTGATCCAGGCCATAGTATTCACAATTGCTTGCTATACATCAGAGAACTGGAGAATGACTAGGGATGATAGAAAAATAATTCATGTCTTTGAGCTGTGGTGCTTGCAATGAATGTTGAATATCGCATGGACTGCCAGGAAACAAACAGTTTCATCCTAGAGAGGATGAAGCCAGGCTGCCCCTTGGAGGCAAATATTCTGAAGCTTCATCTGACAAACTTTGGGCATGTTGCAAGGGAATATCAGTCCTTGGAGCAGGACAGCATGCTTGGAAGGAAGGAGGGATGGAGAAAGAGAGAGAGAGACTATCGATGAGAGGGAGTGATACAGTGACTGAGGTAATGGGGGTTGGGTGTGTCAGAGACAGTAATGTTGGCACAGGATAGAGCAGGTTTCAGGGCTCTTGTACATAGGGTCACTATGAGTTGCAAGAGACTCGAGGGCACATAACAGCAATAAAAACAACCACCACTATTCCAAAAGATCATCACACAAATTGTACAAGAAATGTCCTTAACAGTGAAAAGATTAGATTTCGTACTTTATGACCCTTTTATCTAGATTCACTTGGAAAAGTTGGGTTTGGAATGGAATAGCTAGCTATTATTTTTTTCATCAGTTTGTTCTTAGTTGCTTTCCTTCCTACATGTCATCTCCCAAAAGAAAGTGAAACATAGGTCTATTACTACAACGTCCTCTTGGCATTTTCTGTGACGGTGGTAGCTATGGATTTTATTCTAATTTTCTATCTCATTCAGGTGAGGATGACAATAACTTTGTATTTCCTAGCTACAGCTTGTCTTTATAATCGATTCAAAACCTGTAAACTGAACATTAAAATCCACTTTCTCTCCTACCACCATATAAGACATGAAAATGGAGGTCCTTTTTGAGTTCTCACTGCAAAGTATATTCCAAGCTTTCCTGTTACCTCCATATTTTTTTGCCATATAATTACTGCAAATAATTATTCACAAATACTGTGTTTCATTCATGTATATAGTGTTTTGGGTTTTGAGTGTGTTTCATACTTTCCTTTATTGACATTATGTTTCGTATGATCATTCCCATACATTGTGTTTTACGAAATTAATCACCATTGGACTATGCTCCCATTGTCTCATCCTGAAAAGATGACATATTCCAAGGCTTTTTTTTTTTAAAAAAAACAAGGATCTCCTCCCCAGGAGATCTTGGTGGAACTGAAACCAAGATAACAAACCATTAGACTCTTTTGAGAAGTTAAGCTTAGAAAGCCAAGTCGACAATAGCAAAAATTCTTTACTAAAAGTATCTGGCCATACCCCAGTTGACAATATTACAATTATAATAAAACTACAATAAAATGGTCCCCCCAATTTACCTAGTGGGGAATTGGAACCAACAAAGAGGTGAGGCCTTTGGGGTAAGAGCATTAATTCCTGCAGATTACACCACAAGAGCACTATTTTTCAGAATTTGTCTCTATAGATAGAAAATTTATAAAGTTTGGGGGTTTTGTTTTGTTTTGGCCAATTTTAAATGTCAGAAGATTTTCGTATATTCAACATTATTGAATTACATTTAGTGCTAGCTCAACCTTTACAACACAACAGAATTATCAGGAGTTTTTGGTAACACTTCCACCCAGAGCATCCTATTGCAGGTGGGTCTGAGCCTAGGGATTTCACACAGGTGCCCTTGATGACATTGACCACACCTTGTGCAAGGACCACTCCTTGAGACCTCTTTGATTCTGTTTATTCAAATTTGGAGGAAGCTTTGCCCACATCACGTTCCTGCTCTGTTTATAAAAGAAATTTCTGGAGTGAGGGAACTGGGAGACACATGATAAAAGTCAATGGGGATAATAAAGTCCTCTAGAACCGTTGAAAATCTGTAGTATATTGGGAATGTCACACACATATGCTTAATAAATTACAGCAAGGCAACATCAAAAAGACTCAGAACTGTACCAAAATCATGCTTAAAGCAAATTAGTCACCATAAAAGTTTGATAGAAGTATGATTGATTCTTAGACACTTCAAGTTGCTGTTTTTATTTCTCTTTAGAATTTATTTTACAATTCATACAAATTTTCCTACACAAATTGTAAAAATCTTAAATGTACTATTTGATAAGTTTTGATGGATATGGGCATACAAGCCTCATACACCTGTTGTAATAAAGAATATCTACCACCATGACAAGAGAAAGGTAAATAACCCAATAGAAAAATGGGCACAGAAAAAGGAACAGACACTTCACCAAAGAAGACATTTAGATGGCTAACAAGCACAAGAAGAAATGTTCAAAATTCCTAGCTCTAAGAGAGATGCAAATTAAAAGAACTATGAGATATCATCTCACCCCAGTCAGAATAGCACAATGTATCAGAACAGCAAGTAACAAATGCTGGCGAGGTTGTGGAGAAACTGGAACCCTTATTCACTGTTGGTAGGAGTGTAAAATGGTGCAGCCACTGTGGAAGGTGGTATGGCACTTTCTCAAAAAGTTGCAAATAGAGATACCATTTAACCCAGCAATTCCACTACTGGGAATATACCCCAAAGAGACCATAACTGACATCCAAGCAGATATATGCACCCCCATGTTTATTGTTGCTTTGTTCACAATAGGAAGGAGGTGGAAACAACCTAAGTGCCCATCAACAAACGAATGGATAGAGAAGCTGTGGTATATTCACATAATGGAATACTATGGTGCATTGAAAAACAAGGAACTCATGCAATATTATTCAAAATGGGTGACCTGGAGCACATTATGCTGAGTGAAGTATCTCAGTCACAAAAGGACAAATAATGCATGGTGCTACTGTTGTAAAACAGGACTGACATCGGGCTTAGGGGGAGAGTGAGAAAGATGGGTTCAATAATGTATACTGCATTGAAACAGATAAGGGAGAAAACTGTTTAAAAGGGATATGTGATTAGGTATTTTGTCATGTCAGGAGTCCAGAGCGAAGGTTGCATTGTGGAGTGGACCTGGGGGAGGGATTGTAAAACAATGAAAGAATTTTTTCTTCTACTTTTCTAAGATGGTAGTGTACTGGGGGGGGGGAGGGTTGGGAGGGTAGAAAAGTGGAAAAATGAATGAACGGAAATCCAAAGTCTTTGTAAATTTCCATTGAAATTAATAATAAATTAAGAAAAATACATAAGAACATAAGAAAATATCTTCATGTCCCTTCATTAAGATACGCACCATCAAGGATGAAACTATTGCTCCAACATTTCCTTCATGATAGTCGTGTTTGATCTAGAACTTCAAACTAATGGGCATTTCCAGTATTATTTCTTTCCTGTCTTATGTTTTTAGCTTGGCATATGTCTCTGAGAATCACCAGTGCTGATGCATGTGTCCCAACTTCCTCTAATTGTACAAATAAATCCCCAAGGCTTGCCAATTAAGCCCATTCACTCAGAGGTTCCAAAAATATGGAAATTTCAGTGTTAAAAGGAAAGCCCCCAGGAAATAGAGAGGAGTTGGTCATCCTGCAAAGGCATCCTTAAATGTCTTGATTAGATCTACTTAAAAACTAAACACCCTGCAAAATTTTTATTAATTTTTTTTATATTTTTAAACTGTGTTTCTTTAGAATTGTTGACAAACCAGTTGATGTGTATTTAATGGAAAAGATAGGTGCACCTGAGTGCCAGAAGTGCATATGCTACCCTTCCAGATCCTTTTTGCCAGAAAGGTGTTTCATTCCCAAGGTAGTGTGAGCATGGGCTGCTTGAACCTTATCTTTTCCCCCAGCATAGATCTCCAGGCACTTGTTCCCAGATCCAGAAACAAACTGAAGTGAAAGGTTTCTGCTCCTGCTCTTCCAAAATGCAGTACAGCTAATAAGAATTTGGGAGTACAAACGTCCTGCCGCCTTACATACAGAAGGGATAAGATTTTAGTGCCATTCACGCATTAGAATAGCTTGGGAGATCATCTGAGGATGGACTTCAACTGCAGTCCATCTTGGCTTAGCTTCTACTATAAACCTATCCGGCATTCCTCTGTTTCTTAATGGTTTCTCCTTAATGTACCATCTTGAATCCTTTCTCTTGGGCTTTGATTTCTCTTGGCCAATGGACCCAATTCAAGACACACAGCTGATAGCAATTCATCCTAAAATCAGCCTCCTTGAGGATGAAGGTTAATGAGTCATATTAGACATGAAGGTGTATCCTATCTATTAAATATAATTATGTGGAAGAAATATTACTCATCTAAAAACAACTGGGTGAAAAACTATGCAGAAAATGTATAAATAGCAAAATATCTAAAAGATATAATATTTAAGTTGTCAGTAATTAGAAATTGACCATAACATTTCAACAAATTATAGGAAAAAGATTTTGAGATACCATGTTTTGCACCTTAGTATCTTATATTGAATTTACACAGGAGCAGACAAAGAAACAGGGATGGAAGAGCAAGTAGTTACTAGGGACGTAATAACAAGAAGAACCACAGGAAACTTGGGAAGTGATACAATGAGAGTTGGTGTGGGAAGAAAGCTAAAAGAGAGTAAAGTTAAGGACCAAACTGGAATCCCTGAGCAGGGCAAAGAAAGGATTAAGGTACTTGCCTGCTGACTTAAAGATTGGAGATCCAAGTCCAGCAGTAAGCACCTTGCAACAAAGGTCTAGATATCTACTTTAGAAAGTCCACCACTGAAAACCCTCCAGAGCATCAGTCTACTTGGACAACATAGTGTAACTAGTGAGAGTAAGCAGGTTATTACCATAGGCACCTTGAACTCTTCAACACTGAGGATCTCTGTAAAATGGGAATAATGCACCTGACACCTGAGGGGATGAAGGGAGGGAATTTACCCACAAAGTCCATCCACTGTCCCAGGTCTTCTCCTAAAGGTTTAAGTGTTCTCCAGCATGTGTCCAAGTCTGGCTCCTTCATCAAGAGAAAGCCCTCAGGCAGAGAAGCAGGTCCTGGCTGTGAGAAAGCATCTCTCTAAACCAGAGCAGTGAGTGCTCAGCAAATCAGGGTGGGACCCCTGAAGTTGCTGCTACACTCTGGTCCTCTACAAGAACCAGAGAGCCTTTGAAAGTTCAAGGTAACTATTGAAGAAGGAAAATTAATGGGATATCACACACTTGTATTTATATTACTAGAAAATAAGATTTATCTAAGAAGTAGGAGAATACCTGTAAGGAAATAAATACTGCAATTGGGCTAACATGTTATTTGACAGACTTCAGAGAAAATGACATTTTATGTTGCTTTGGGAAAGAGATAACAACAGGAGCAGTGCATTTCAGGCCAAATTGTGATAAAGAACCAGTGGAACTGAGTTTTGCAATTGAGTTCATGTTATTCAATTAACACAGCACTAAAAAATTTGGTGAATGTAAAACAGGTAAATGCTGGTCAGAAGTTTCAGCAACAAGAACCACTAGAGCAGGTTGGGTGGCAACAGCTGGAAATGCAGCAGGTGGGCCTGCAGCAGCTGGAACCACAAGAGGGGTGACAGCAGCTGGAAATACAGCAGGTGGGCCTGCAGCAGCTGGAAGCACAGCAAGAGGGGTGGTAGCAGCTGGAAATACAGCAGGAAGGGCGGCAGCAGCTAGAGATGCAGCAGGTAGGCTTGCGGCAGCTGGACACACAACAGTTGGGGCGGCAGCAGGTGGGCCTGCAGCAGCTAGAAATACAACAGCTGGGGCGGCAACAAGTGGGCTGACAGCATACAGACTGACAGCACGGGGGGCTGCAGCAGCTGGGATGGCAGCAGGTGGGCTGGCAGCAAACAGACTGGCAGCACTGGGGCCTGCAGCAGCTGGACACACAACAGCTGGGGCGACAGCAGGTGGACTGGCAGCACTGAGGCCTGCAACAGCTAGACACACAGCAGCTGGGGTGGCAGCAGGTCTCCTGGCCTTGACCACAGCCCTGGTCAGAGCAGACGGAGCCACAACAGGAGTTGCACATAGTGTCAGAGGGTCGAGATTCTGGGTGTGTTGACGAGAATGTGGGTTTTGAATAAGAAAGTCTCTACCTCATGTCCCCTTTTATACTCTAGCAAGGGCTGCGGTCATCAAGGTCTTCCCTGTCAGTGTTTATTCAGGTAAACAGTCAATTATCAAATCTGGCCCATTTGTTTTCCTGTTCAAATAGTTCTGGACGCTTGGTAAATTTTGTTTCCTTTTCCTGATGTGTGAGGATTCATCCCTTCACTTCTTCCTCAATCGCTTCTTTTTGCCTTTCCTGCTTTAGCCCAGTCCAGGAGAGCTGTCACAAAGCACGCTGTACATAATCAGTCTCATTCAGATAGCATGGTATGTCTACTCATGGGTGATAATGATTCTTATGGGCCAGCAATTCTTTTTGGTGACTTGGGAGGATAAAACCATGTTTCAGTCTGATGGTTCATTCATTGTGGGTCAGGTGGGCAAAGAAGATGTAAATGTATTACCTTTGAAAACACGTGAATCATACGATTATTAGGTTCTGCCCCCTCCCCACGGTGAATCATGTACAATTATCTAGTCTTTTGATGGAATGATTTTAAGAACAAAACTTTGAAATATGCTTTTCTCAAGAAATAAGCTTCTAAATCATAGTATTAGGATTTCTTTGGAAAACTTGGGGACAAAGAGATTTATTCTTCTCCATAAGGGCCAGGTGCCTCAAATCCAGCTTCTTTTATTATTTCCTTAGCACACACACATTGATTAAGTATGGCAAAAGGATATAAACCTGGCACACACATTTCCGGATTTGAAACCATACAATGTCCTTTTGCTTTGTTTGGAGGCTGCATGGGCACAATTACATATTCAGGGACTCTCATTCTTTGTAATGTTAGCTATACTATACTATGATTCACACAGCTGAAAAATTTGCAAGAAAACAGAGGTAATTAAATTTCTGATGCTCTCTGCTTTCAGACACCTCTGTCTGGCATTGCCAAACAAACACCTCTCATTGAGGTCTCAAGTTATAATATTTCAGGATTGTCCAGGGGAAACTTTTAAGGACAAAGAAAATGTCAAAAGAAGATGGAGGGGAAACACAGAATTATTAAGCAAGAAATAATTGGATGGCATGCAACCATGTCAACAGGTAGCATCTGATCAAGAATCACAGTACAGTACAGAAGGAAGAAGTCCAAACTGCACTGAATTAGGCATTACCTCATTTGTTAATTGCTGCTTTATTAGAATAAGCCATAACAAGGAAAGACCTCCCTCAGATGGGTATAAAAGGGGACATGGGATGGGGAGACTTTCATATTCAAGAATATTCTTCTGTCAACACACCAGAACCTCCACCTTCTGACACTATGTGCAACTCCTGTTGTGGCTCCATCTGCTCTGACCAGGGCTGTGGTCAAGGACAGGAGACCTGCTGCTGCCCCAGCTGCTGCCAGACCTCCTGCTGCAGGAGTACCTGCTGCCGCCCCACCTGCTGTGTGTCCAGCTGCTGCAGGCCCCAGTGCTGCCAGTCCAGCTGCTGCCGCCCCAGCTGCTGCCGCCCCAGTTGCTGTGTGTCCAGTTGCTGCAGGCCCCAGTGCTGTCAGTCCACCTGCTGCCGCCCCAGCTGCTGTGTGTCCAGTTGCTGCAGGCCCCAGTGCTGCCAGTCCAGCTGCTGCCGCCCCAGCTGCTGTGTGTCCAGTTGCT